AAGGAAGGAAGGAAGGAAGGAAGGAAGGAAGGAAGGAAGGAAGGAAGAAAAGAAAAACAGAGATTGGGCCTTATAGCACCTTTCTGAAGATATAGCATGCAACATTAACTCCATTTTTTAAAAAACCCAAGTGTGAAGAGCATAAAAGGAATGACATTAAATTCTTAGCATGTACCATCTTCTCGCTCCCACTTCTCCCAAAGGAGAGAGACTTTATTACGTGCTAGATCAATTCTGGATCCTCCTTTATTTATATAGGAACATATCAGAATCAGGACAGAAGGCAAGGGATAACACAAAATAAAACAAAAGACCTGAGCTAGAGAGGCCAATGTTAGGGAGAGAGATGGGGCTGTTTCAGCATGGGGAGAATGGAAATTTTTGAGGTGCATGGAGTGGGGGAAGGACAAGAGAGAGAGGGAAAGAAAAATGGAAAGGGAGTGATACAGGGAAGGGGATTTTTAATAGTTTTGGGGCTTCCACGAATGTAGCCATCCCTTTCAAAACTTCTCTTTCCATTGCTTTATTTTGTTTCTTGGAGAGGTACTAGACTAAATATTTTCACTGTTTGTAATTATTTCTAGTTGCTGGACTATTGGTTTTTATGCAACTTTGCATAGCACTTGTTGCAAAGCAGTTGGGTTACATAGGCTACTTGAAGTCTTTCATTTACCAAACATGTCATCTGTGTAACCTGGTCAATAGGAATCATTCCAAATGCTTATGATGCCCTGATGTGGAAATAGTAAGACCATGATCTCTGAAACGAATGCTCTGGTGGATCCTCCAAAAGTTCTGTAAAACAAATACTGCATTGAAGTTATTTTCATCCTTAATAGTCCCAAATTTATTCTCAAAAATCCGAGGTTCATGTTCCAGTTTTACTGTGTTAACTGTGCAACCAAACTATGAACCTCTGAAGACAAGCAAGTTGCATTATCATCTTTTTATTTTGCCAGGATTTTAGCAATTGGCCACCTGGGGCCCATAGTAAACACTTATTATTAAGTGGGTAAGTGTAAGGCTTCAGCCATATCCAAGAAATCCTCTGGTTGTCTTTATAAAGTCCTGAATTAAAGGGTACTTCTGTTATCATTATGAATCTATTCTTGCAGATTTAAATACCTATAACTTTAGCAGGCATGACTCTTCCTTAAGGGGTCATATCAGGTGAAGAGCTGCACTCCTCACTCACATGGAATGCCTTCTTAAATAAGAGTAAATGTTTCAAGTTTGCTTGAATAGATGAAGAAATGAAAGAGGGAACAGAGAGAAAGATACAGGAAGAAATAGAGAAAGGAAATAATATGAGAATTTAAGGCAATTCTTTAGGGCAAAAAATCTATTCCAATAACTCCTTGGCTGAAGTAACCAATCGAAATGTCCAAGAAACCTGAAAACATTATTTTTTAAAACACATGTACAGGTGTTTTAGATAAACTATTTAAATACAGGAAACAGGTAATGCACGACTTCCTTATACTCACACATTTCTCCTTTTATCACCATGGTTACTCTTATTTAAATTTATTAGCACTGATGGACACTTAGTAATGTGCTCATATTGAAGGGTTAGATGTGTTTACACTGTATGATGATTGCTAAACTACTTTTTTTTTTTCCAGCTGATCAAAGTGTCACCAGTTTCTCTCCTCTACCTTTTTCTTATAAAGGGAAATGCCTCAAGTGCCTTCTGAAGGCTTCCTGTTCCATCCCGAAGGAGTTTCTCAGTAATGTTCTTTCATCATAAATTGCTGGGTGTTCTGAAATGTTTTCTCCCTGAAGTTATAAATCACAAGTTTCTGATGTTTTGTCTACTCTCTCTCTCGGCATACTGATTCTCCGGGGACAAGTGTCATGAAAACGCTTTTGGATAGATAAAAACGCATTCGTTCTCAGTCTCCCCTGATCCTGCTATTCAAACGGTCCATATCTATAAGGATGGCAGGTGTATTAACCGAAACACGGATTTTTCTTCTCCAAGTATTATAATTATTGATGCTTTGGACTCTTCCTGCTTTATCCATCCTACTAAGGTTATCCTTGAAAAAGTATTGCCTGAGTCTAGAGCTCATGAGTCAACATCAATGATAATAGAAAGCATTTATTAGATCCCATTAAGCACTTACTCTTCTAAAAGCTTTTTGTGTAAAAACTTTTTCAATCCCGACCACAACTCCAGGAGACCAGTTCTACTACTATCCCTGCTTTATAAATGAGGAAAATGGGGCACAGAGGGGCTAAGTAATGTCCTATCCCACATAGAGCAAACGGTAGAGCAAGGGATGGCAGTGTGGGCATTTGCTTATAGATAGCTCCCTACACACTAGAACATGCTGTCTCCGATTAGCAATAAATGGCAGAGAGACAAGATTTTTTTAAAAGATTTTATTTATTCATTTGTCAGAGAGAGAGCACACAAGCAGGGGGAAAGCAGGCTCCCCGTTGAGCAAGGAGCCAGACGTGAGACTTGATCCCAGGACCCCGGGATCATGACCTGAGCTGAAGGCAGATGCTTAGCTGACTGAGCCACCCAGGCGTCCTGAGAGGCAAGATTTTTAACCTGCATGTAAGCTTCATGGAGCCAACAAGGCCCCCGAGAATTACATACAAACATGTCTGTACCCTGTGTGCATAGGTGTCTGTGATTATGTGTGCATTTTTCTGAGAAGAGACTCTACAGATTTAATTCAGTTCTCAGAATGGTCCAAGGTGGGGCGCCTGGGTGGCTCAGTCGTTAAGCATCTGCCTTCGGCTGAAGTCATGATCCCGGGGTCCTGGGATCCAGCCCCGCATCCGGCTCCCTGCTCAGGGGGAAGCCTGCTTCTCCCTCTCCCACTCCCCCTGCTTGTGTTCCCTCTCTCGCTGTCTCTCTCTCTCTGTCAAATAAATAAATAAAATCTTAAAAAAAAAAGAAATGGTCCAAGGTTCCCTAAGAAATGGTTAAAGAACAATATAGTGAAAAACAGTCTAGTGTTTGAGATCTAACAACTCATGGTTTAAATTCTGGCTCTGTCACCTACTTTATTAAGTCATTAACAGCTTTAATGTTCTTGGTATGTTACACAGGGAATAACAATGCCAACAACATAAGGTTATTGTAGGAACCAAATGACATAATGCATACTCAGCATCTAGAAGACTGTCTAGTATATATAGCAAATAAGGACAGGTCCCTTCCGTATCCATCTGGAAGCCTCTAGGCAAACAGGATGCTCCCCATCAATCAACATAAGTAGTGATGTCTTCATCTGCTTCCTTTCCCAGGTTCCCAGTGATCTTTCCTAAGTGTTTCCAGCCCAGCGCAAGAGTTGTGAGCGTGGGTCCAAGGCACGATTCTGGTCTTTGTTAGACGCAGTTCTCACCTTTACACGGATGGTGTTCAAGTTTTCTCCAGGCCAAGGTGAGTCCCTTAGTCTCTTGGCAGAGGACCAATTAGGAAAGATATCAACAAAACAACAGCCTAAACCTTGCCATATTTGGGGTGCAATTGCTACTTCCTTTTTAAAAAAATTGAAAACTTTCTGAATTCCGAGGAAAAAGCCGGTTAACAAAAGAAATTAAAATGTGACTGTATTAATTTTCTATGGCTGCTATTAACAAATTACCACAAATTTAGCGGCTTAAAATCACACGAATTTCTTATCTTATATTTGTGCAAGTCAGGAGTTTGATGTGGGTCTCACTGGGATAAAATCAAAATGTCTCCAGGGCTGCATTCTTTTCTGGAGGCTCTAGGGGAGAATCTAGTCCCTTATCATTCCCAGTTTTTAGACACTTGCTTACATTCCTTAGCTCATAGTCCCTGCCATATTCAAAGCCAACAATGGCCAGTCTGGTCTTTCTCACTTTGAAATTGACTTTTTCTTCTGCCTCTCACTTCACTTCTACTTCAGGACCTTTGTGCTCACCTGGAAAACCCAAGATATTCTTCTTATTTTAAGGTCAGTTGATTAACATTCTTAATTCCCCTTTGCTATGTAATATAACATATTCACAGGTCCTGGGGATCAGGAGGTGGGCATCCGTGGAGGGCCATTTTTCTACCTAATGCAGTTACCTTCTAAATTAGGTCTATCGTGACCACCTTATTTAAAATTCCAACCCAAATACACCCTCCTGATCTTCCCTAAGAGTTTAAGACATAATGGTTGTAATAAAGGTGTGAGGTGCTAAGGACATAGATTTCTTTTCTTTTTTTTTTTCTTTAAGATTTTATTTATTTGACAGAGAGAGAGAGAGAGAGCACACAAGCAGGGGGAGTGGTAGGCAGAGGGAGAGGGAGAAGCAGTTTCCCTGCTGAGCAGGGAGCCCGATGCGGGACTCGATCCCAGGACCCTGGGATCATGACCTGAGCCGAAGGCAGACGCTTAACCGACTGAGCCACCCAGGCGCCCCAGGGACATAGATTTCACTGGGGTACATGGGTAAAGGAGTCGAATTGACCTGGGTTTGAATCCTAGTCCTGCCATTTTTAACATGATAATCTTTGGAAAGTCTTAGCCTTTAAGGGCTTCAGTTTTCTTATTTGGGAAATGGTGATAATACATCAACTGCACAAGATTTTTGTGACTATCAAAGAGGACAGTGTTTTAGCCGTTTCTGGCAAAGAAATATACATGGCAAGTGCTCAATATATATTCCCTTCCCAGCTTTCTTCTTCTTTCCCCCTCTAATTCCAATCAAGTTCTTTGTTTTTTAATTGTGGTCAAATAGATATGAAATTTCCCATCTTACCATTATTAACTATACAGTTCAGTAGTGTTTAGAATGTCATGTTACTGTGCAACAGATCTCCAGGACTTTTTCATCTTGCAACACTGACTCTGTACTCATTGAATAATTCTCTGTTTCCCCCTTGGTTTTAGCACCTAGCAACCACCCTTCTGCTTTCTGTTTGTGGGAGTTTGACTACTCCAGATGCCTCCTCTAAGCGGAATCCCACAGTTTTTGTCTGCCACTGACATATTTCACTGAGCCTAATGTCCTTAAGGTTCATCCATGTTGTAGCTTATGTCAGAATTTCCTCCGACACAGCATTTTTACAGCTGAATAATATCCCACTGCATGTATATACTACAAATTGTTTAACCATTCATTCATCCATGGACATTGAGTTGTTTCCAACTTTTGGCTATTGTGAAGTGCTGCTGTGAACGTGAATGTATAAATACGTCGTTGAGACTCTGCTTTCAATTCTTTAGGCTATATAACCAGAAGTGGAAATGCTAGATCACATGGTAATTCTATTTTTAATTATTTGAGGAACTTTGGTACTGTTTTTTATAGTGGTTGTACTATTTTACATTTCCACCAATAGTGCACAGTGGTTCTATTTTTCTTCCACATCCCTGCCAACACTTGTTAGTTTCTGGGTTTGTTTGTTTGTTTGTTTGTTTTGAAAATAGCTATCCTGATGGGTGTATAATATCTCACTGTGATTTTGATTTGTATTTTCCCAGTAATTAGTGTTTGAGCATCTTTTCATATGCTAGTTGGCCATTTGCATATCATCTTTGGAGAAACATTTCTTCAAGCCTTTTGCCCATTTTTAAAAGTTGGGTTATTTGTTTTCTTGCTATTCTTTATATATTCTTGATATTAACCCCTAATCATATATATGATTTGCAAATATTTTCTTCCATTCCATAGGTTGCCTTTTCACTCTGTTGATTGTGCCCTTTGATGCAAAGACACTTTTATTTTATATAGTCCTGCTTCTCTGATTTACTTTTGTTGCCTGTGCTTTTGGTGTCATATCACTAATGAGAGTTATAAGTCCTCCTTTAACACATCCATGCATACACATAGACACACACACACTCATAAGCATTTAAAAAGCAGCATTGAAGAAATCACTAAAGCCACTACCACCAAATGAAAGAGCAGACTAAAGAACCAAATCAAACCAAACCAACCAACGAGCCAAACAAACAAAAAAGGAACAAAAAGAAAGAAACTTGTCTATTTTTTAGAAATCTCCTTCTCTGATCAGAAATGTGCCATTTTCATGTCTTATGCTGTCTTCTCCCGAGAAATAAACACAAGGAAATAAAAGCAGCTGTGCTACAATCTTGGCAATAACAAGGAAGTTGGAGCCAGTAAATTAGTATTCTTGCAATTAACTAGCTACTTGACCTTGGGCAAATCATTTTCCCTTTTTTAGGTCTCACACATCTTATCTGAGATCCCTTCAACCTTTAATGCTCTGTGCCCAATTATTTTTTCACATTCCGGATAAAAGACCATATCCTTGGTCCTGTCATTTGTGACATCATTGTTGGTGGGTTTACTAGCAAGCAAATGCCCCTCTGACCACTCCTTAGAGGGCAGTCTTCCTAATGGGATGAGAGACAATGGGAGTTCCTAGCCAACTGCTGAATCTTATGTTATGGTCTTCCCATACCAGGTGCCAACTGATGCGTGGACAGATAGAGTTCAAACTGATTCATCGCCCCTCTTGACTCTCTTGATGTCTGTAGGTGTCTCCCCCTGTAGTCATCCCTGTTTTTTAGACCATCTCCTCTAGTTCTTTTGAGGAGCCTGCAATATTGTCATTGATCACTTGCCTCAACTTGGCTTTGCTCTCTGTCTTTTCTTGTCTTGAACCAAAGGACCCTTTCTTAGACTCTAGTTTTACTCCTGTCCATCTAACACTGCCAAGGTCACACCCATCAATTCTCAGAAATGATGCTTTTCTGCATTTCTTCCATCTGAGATTGGTGAGAACTTTACACATAAAATCAGTGTCTAAAGCAATTCTGATCTACTCAAATTCAGAGTTCTCCTTAAAACTGAGTATCTTAGATCCTAGGTGGGCCAGAGTCACATAATAATCATGATCACAGCTAGGACCCAAAAATATTAACTAACTATTCCCACAAATAATTTGATTGATGCTATCTGAGCTAGTTTAGATTATAATTAGAAGTTTTTCTTGAAAGTGACGAGCCAACTTTTATTTCATTCCATTCCTAGGCTGTTCTTGTTTAAAACTACTGTGGCAGAACTTACACCACACAAGTGGGTGGTGACAGGTGTGCAATAAATAGAAATAACAGATAATGCTCCAAGCATTTTCATTTGTCTCTAATGTGTTATCACACTTAAGTTTGAAAATGAGAAGATCTGATGTTAGGAATTAGTAATAACCAAACTCTAAAGTCACAGAAAACACACACACACTGAGTCCTAAGCTCAGAAGACTACTAAGGAAACTTCGCATTGCCTACAAGTTTCCTGGCATATTCACATACATGCGCACATGTGCTCTTGCACACACACACATACACACATTTCTTCATTTCTTCTATTCCAGACTGGGATTAGAAAGACTTCAACATCATGATTCTAAGTGCCAACCTACATCAGGTCACTTTTATTTCATCAAGTTGGTTGTAACATACTTTTTTTCACCCAGTAATAGAATAAATACAGACACTCAAACCTCTAGCCAGCCAATGACATCCCTTAGACACCTGCTGACTTCAAAATGCTGTCACCAGAGTTCTGAATGTGGAAGCTCGATCTCAGTTTGGGAGCAGTGCTGTGCTGAGGATGGGTCTGCACCCATGTGCTTGTTGCCTTTCCTCTATATTTAAATTCCTTGTCGGACTTTAGCATACTGGAGAAGACAGACCCTGAAAGAAGAGGGAGTAGGGTTTGTGACCCCAGAGAGAAAAGTGGGAGAACCCAAAAATGAGGCGGGATTTAACAGTAGACTCCACAAATTTTGATTGCATACTAGGAAGCATGCTAGGAGCTTAGATCCCCCCAAGAAGGGCAAATCAGGCCTTTCTCATAACCTGGAAAAACACAACTAAGACAAACAAGGATCAATCACAAGAGCAACAAAAGCCAGAAGATCAGGTTACTACTTTGGAACTGATGTCACAATCAGAAATACAGATCGTGGCTTCTGAAACAAATAATGCAATATATGTTAAGGAAAAAAAGAAGAAGAAGAAGATAGCAGGAGGGGAAGAATGAAGGGGAGTAAGTCGGAGGGGGAGACGAACCATGAGAGAGGATGGACTCTGAAAAACAAACTGAGGGTTCTAGAGGGGAGGGGCGTGGGGGGATGGGTTAGCCTGGTGATGGGTATTAAAGAGGGCACATTCTGCGTGGAGCACTGGGTGTTATGCACAAACAATGAATCATGGAACACTACATCACAAACTAATGAGGTAATGTATGGTGATTCACATAACAATAAAAATTATTAAAAAAAAAGAAATACACTTCGTGGAAACTTTGTGCTCTATTTCCTAGATACAGAAAGACTAAGTATATTGCTAAACCTGATCCAACCAACCAGTTGTGGAATTCAGACTTCTAAGACTTCCTGTGTTTTCTATCATGCTGGTTGAAGAAAGACCATGAAGTTCCTTGAACCCTATGCTG